CAGAAGACCACTCTATGTCTCCAATCCTTCGCGGCACTGTCCGTGCCCAGTTCACTTGCTAGGCGTCTCAGAGCAGTGTAGAGGTCGTTATTGCGCATGTTCACGTCCTGGAACACTTCTTGCTGGGAAGGTTCCGCTGGCTTCCACATAGCTAACAAGGCTATCTCAAGTTCGCGGGAAGAGATAACGTTAGTCACTTTGTTGGCGATGCAGCAATCAGGGGCACTGTCGGGGAACCAGTCCTCCATTTCGTCCATGAGCTTTAAGCACGCTTCTTTGTGATACTGGTCGGGTGCTTGCATCTTGAAGGGCGGTGGAATTTGATAGAAGTATATATGGTACTGGGTACTGGAGTGGATAGTGTGATAGACTGATAAGTAGAGATGTGTGAGGAGCAGGAGAGAAGGCGCCGAATTTATAGTTTTGATCTATGAGTCTTCACTGACATGCTGTCATATAAAGTTATGACTATATGAGCATCCGCTTCAAGACGCTCCGAGCGACTGCACAAAGGTCTCCAACATGTAACCATGACTGGCTCATGAGTCCTCTTGAGCAGCTGAGGCTCACAGCTGGCTTCAGAGTCACCTGGGTTCTACAATCAATGACAGCTTCGAAGCTTCTACGAACCTTATGCGCGCCCTGAGCTTAGAATCTGGATAATGGTGTCAACTGGGGGAGATATGTATCCATAAACCTCACCAAGGGCTGCACGAATGTCATCGGCGAACAGGTGCCCCGGGGGATACGTAGGTACTTGTAAACTGTAGACTTTACCGATGAGTAAGCTGTACCTTTGCACAGACAGTGCTATGAGCCTGTGCTTGGCCATCGTGTAACGTTCTGTCGTCACGCACGTGCAAACATTCTTTGTTCAGCAAGTGCGTCATAACGTTGGAAGCGACATTCCTTTCAACGCACATCATTTTATCTCTTTACCCCGACTTCACTTTGCAGACCACAACGCACTCTCGAGGTTCAGAGAAGTTTCCAAATAGTAGCCTGTCAAACTTCAATGCCTTGAGTGTTGGCTTATCGTGATGCCATGAGAGACCCAGAGAGCCACATCACCCTGCGTACCTGCCTATCGCAGGTACTACAGTAGAGCCAGGAGGCTGTCGCATCGCTATACAACAGTAAGTCTCGACGATAAAAACAGGTTTGCAGACTTCAGCATCATCACCATATACAGACATCAAGACGTTGAGGTGTTCAGGTGACTACCAAGACCTCACAGACATCACATATCATAAGAACTTAATAATTACAGAACCAGTTTTACTATCGTGTGCTACTTAGCTAGCTATGAACTTTGATGACCGTTTGTCATATCTCCGTGAATCCTTCCCATATTATAGTACATGCATCATGAAAAGAGTGAAAAGTGAAGAGAAACCATGAAGAACTACCAAATTCTCTTAACCGGTGCCATTGCCGTTGCCGTTGGTGTTGCCATTGCCGTTGGTGTTGACAGGGGTGTTGGTGGGGGCAGGGGGTGAGGTAGGGGGGTTTGCGGGAGGAACCGAGGGGAACACGCGACGCTCGATATAGCGGAAAGTGTTGTTCGGTCCGAGGGCGAAGAGGGGTTGAGGAGGGGTGTCAGACATGATGGCTAGACAGTCGAGAGACTTGTGCTAGTTTAGTGTTTTCGGTTTGAAAGTTGACGGATCAGGTGCGAGCCCTTGTGCCACCAGGTCTTGAGGCGGTCTATGATGCGGTGTTTGCGGTAGTCAACTGCTCTCATGCCCTCCGCGTCACGGAAGGTATGGCGGTTGGCGGTAGTGGATGACGTGAAAGCCTGAGCTTCACCGGCACGATCTTGGAGGAGTGAGGTTGTTGACTGCTTGGTCGACTCGGGCGAGGCGAGGTCTTGTGCGTTGGTCTTGCTTCGACCAGCTCGAGTGTTTGATTGGCTGTCAAGCGTAGCTTTGCGAGTTGACGAAAAGCGCTTGCGGAGCGAGAGCCTAGTCTTGCGTGTGGTGTCGTAGTGCTCGTCGTCAGAAGTGTCAGAGGCTGACAGGTGGTCGCGGAAGATAGCTGTAGGAGGTGACAGGGCAGAGGTGGGGTAGCGTTCACCGACTGCGTGTGGCTGGTCGCTGTTGCGGCCAAAGGTGCTGAAGCGGTGATGACGCGCGTGTGCGGTGCTATCGGCCGGTGATCCGAACGGGGAAGCTGTGGCTGTCTGCGCTGTCGAGAAGGAGCTTGTGGTAGACGCGTCAGAGAGTCTGTTGCGGAGGTGGGAAGGGCCTGGGTGAGGAGAGTGTCTCGCAGCAGCTGGACGAGGAAGGGAGATGTCAATAGCGGGGTTTGTTGACGTCGCCCAGGGATAATTCTTGTCTGAATTCCAGGGACGCGTCTCGGTTACTGTGGGCGTAGAAACAAACGACCTGAGAGACCTTCTTACGGAAAGAGCGGACTCCCCTGAGATGCGAAGCTCTTGAGGGCCGACGGTGTGAGAGCGCGGACGGAGAACAGCTGGTGATGGGACTCGCAGCTCTGAGAGCGGAGTCGTCTTGTTGTGTGTTGGTGTGCTCGGTGCGTCGTCGTCCTTGGGGGAGCTGCCTGTATTTGAGTCTGCCTCGCTAGCGCCGTTTACACCAACTCCATCATCGGGACGGCCTGGACTGCCACATCCCCTCTCCTTGCTTGTGATCTCATCATACAGATCGTCCTCGATAACAACCATGTGCGAGACGCCACGCATGGGGCGAAGTCGAGCAGACGAGCGCTTCTGCGTCGGATGGATCTCATGGATCTCCTCCAATGCGTGCTTCTCCATCTCCTCCTCAATCGGAAACTCGGCTGGCTCACCGCACTTGTAGTATTCTCTCAACGACGGGAAGATCTCCGAGAGGCGCTGGGTAAGCCCCCCGACAGAAGGTATAGTCAGCCGCTCAATCTCTGCCATGAGCTCCGGTGAACGAGCACGGTGCATCGCGAACAGGTTCAACACGGCGGTAGGCTGCATTGACAACCCTGAGCGCTCCGCTTCATTCAATTCGGCGAGAGAAAGGCGCAGGTCCGTGACATCACCGGCTGATGCAGGCCGCGGACTACCTCTGCTCACCCTCTGCGACGCATTGGGCACCTCTTCCATTGACCTTGAGTAGCGAAGGCCAAGGTCCTCGGTCAGACCATCGAACAGATTCATCCGACTAAACCGCATCGAAGGCAAACCGTGTGCCTGTCCGAGCGCGCTACCCACGTTGCTGCCAACAGCACTCCGACGATGCGACGCTGTAGACGACCTTCCCGAGAAGTTGATCGGTTCCTCTCCCGAAGCCCTGACCCCCGACGGCGCGCCGAACGGAAAGCGGTAACTCGAGCTCTTCAGATTGCTGGCACTCGTGTTGAGGCTCGAGTCCTCATGCGACTCCTCCTTCAGGTCAGGCAGATAACGCGCAGGGCCAGGATACCTATATCCGGATAATCTGAGGTCCGTCGTAGTATTCTCTTGGATGTTGGACAAAGGACCCGATCCCAAAGAATTCAAAACATTTCCAACACCGCTCAGAGGGCGTAGCGACACCTGCTGGAGGCCACCACCGTGGGAGGAAGGCCTATATCCATTCCAATCGAGGTGTGTCGTAGTCTGGCTGTCACGACGGCCAGGCTCTTGGGCTACCGGAAGTCCATCCACGGAGTCTACACATGAGCCTGAGGAGGTGTCATGAATCGAGTACACAGAGGAGGGCTCCAAAATCGCAGGAACCGGGCTGTCGACTGGTTGCGCAACAGGAGCCGGGCTACTACCGGGCATCTTGGATGGGTTACAAGCTTTCGGGGTGTCGAAGCTGATAGCTCGCGTCTTCGCAACAGGTACACCTTTTGGCCTGGTCGACGGTGCTTGCGGCGTCTTCTTTACCTCCATGGCGGGCGGCTGTGAGCTGGTCATCTCATTGAGACTGATAACTCCGTCCGTGTCTTGACTCGAACTAGAAGCAGATGGGACCGTCTCATCTGACTTCGGTAGCTCCTCTTGGTCAGTATACTTCCGAGACCTGGCAAAGCGCAACGGTAGTGGACGCATCAAGAACGAGACTGCGGCGTGCACACGTTGGGCCTCCTTGGAAGTGCTTGATTCTCGGGGCGGTACCGCTGGCCCCTGGTGCGTAGTGCCCAGCGTGGATGACGAACCAGATACCGATATCGAGCCTTGCTTCATGCTCTGCTTGGAGCTAGTCCGCAATTTGCTCGCTACGATAGAAAAGCTGGATTCTCGACGCGGTATAGGAGGCTGTTTGCGAAGCATAGCAGAAGAGGGCTTGGACAAGGGTGCCTCCACAATCGTCCTGCCCTGATTCAAGACCACCGTTCCTAGGTTGGACGTTTGGAGTCGAGGCGGAGCTGCGAAACTAGCACGGATAGGGTGCACACCAGTCGCAAAAGAGTGAGTGTCTGCTTCCTTCGATACCGTATCTCGCTGCGGCGCAAAGTCAATGGCGGATGTGGAAGACGCTTTGATGTCTTCTTTTCCTGGCTCGAATGGTATCAAGCCTGAAGAGACATCTGGCAGATCGGTACAAGACTTGAAGGACAGCTCATCGGACGACCCTTGTGCGTGGCTACTTCTGGATCGAAGGGCAAGAGGCAGCGGCTTCATGTCATTTTCTGTTGAATCATCTGTGTGCTCCTCATACCTGCTCTCGTTGGCCGTCTCGGTTCGTACCAAAGCGTCGGTCTCGTTCTTATAATCAGATCCCTGATATCCTGCAAGAACATCCGACATACCATCGCCGGTACTATTACCAGGACTGAGAGACATGTTCGTGGTAGCATGAATTTTGACACCGGGCTCGTTTTGGAAGCCACCGCTATTGGCCGTTGGTATGGAATGCTGGACTGCGAATTCAAGAGTGGACGAGTCGAGGATGCTAGATCCAGTCTGCGATAAGATACTGTGGCGGTTTTCTCCGCGGTCTGCCGAATGCAATACGGCCCCACGAGGTATATCAGATACAAAGTATTTCTTAACAGGTATATCACACGAATGGGTGACCTCATTGGTCTTCGACAGCGGCAGAGGCCCCGGAGTCAGCGACCTTGGTGTCAGCGACCGTGTTGTCAGCGACTTTGTCGGCGACTGCGGTGTCGGAGACGTCGTCAGTGATTGCGGTGTCGGGGACTTTGGCCTTGATATTGGTATCGGAGACTTTGGCCTTGATTGTAGTGTTGGAGACTTTGGCCTTGAGGGTTGTGTCGGAGACCTTGGAACGGGGGACTTTCTTGACGGAGATGGAGGCTTGCTCGGGAGCGAGGGAGATGGCCCCGAAGAGGTTACTAACTCCATCGAAGACTGGATATCGCCCGTCGTTGAAGCCTCCAGACCTCTTAGGATCAAATTCCTTGTGATGCGGTGAGCTACGGGGGACGCTGGGAGTTCCGCAATGTCGCTTTCGCGAATGCTTCCGGGCTTTGCGCTCGGCTTCGCGTTCGCGTTCGAGATCGGAATCGAGGTCTTTTCGCAAGTTCTCACGGTAATGGTAGCGATGTTGTCTAGGTGGGGAGACACGACCTCCATCGACATTGGTCGTGCCTCTTGTCCTAAAAAAGAATCACTCTTCAATGTCGCCCCAGCCTGACGAGACTGCTCGACAGTGGTTATCTTTCGGTCTATGAAGCCGTCGGGATCAGCATCCGTCCCTGGGTCCGCAGACGCCACAGGTCCGAGCTGGTCACTCGTGTTGTAGTATGGTACTGAAGGATACTCTTCCTGAATAACAAGGCGGTTCGGGTTGGCGGCTTTGAAGACCTTGTTTCTATCGAGGTTTCGGTGCACTTCCATGGAGCTACCATCTTTCGGAGTTGATGGCATTGTCATGTCGGACGATGGCGGCTCTGATTCGGTACGCAAGTTTGTGTTAAAACTGGACATGGAAGCAGGCGCAGACCTCTTGAGACGAGCTTGTTCAGCAGCGATCCGTTGGCGGTGATCGGCTGGTAAAGGTGGCTGATGTTCATCCTGACGCCTGCGCTCTCTTCGATCTTCTGAACGAGGCTCGCGGGCGGAGTTGCCTGTCATCCTGCGAGACACGAGTTGTCCGAAAGCCGCGTGGTAGGGAGGAAAGTCGTCGTCTTCCACGGGGGGATCTTCAAGGCTCATCGTCGACCGAGAAGCTGGATTCTTGGTCCTCATCTGCCCGGGGCCCTGTCGGGTGTTGAAGCCTCGTTGGTCTTGTCCTTGTCCAGCATGCTGCTGCCGATACGTATGATTTGTGTATCCTGGGTTGCCGTAGCCTTGTGCGTGGCCAGCATAGGGCAGTCGCTGACCGTCGTAGCTCCGCGGCCCTTGGAAGTGTACTCCGCTGTCGTCGCTCAGGGCGGACTGGACCGATCGCGAGTATGGAACAGGCTGCCTGGAACCACCCCCGGCGGGGTGTGCATAGTATGGGCTTGGGTTCGAAGATCGGGACGCTGGCCGAGGGCGCAAGCTGGGAATAGACCTGTTGCTGGAGAGGCCGTACGCTGGGGGCTGTACGGTATTCGTCATCGAGTGCGAGCGATGCGCGTCCCTGTCGCGGTTGTCTCTTCGGTTGTTGAAAGGCGATGATCCGGTGGCGTTCATCATCGTTGGAGACAGCGTGTCGGCATTATACACGGGCCCATGGTGTTGCATTGGCTGGCGCGGTGCAGAAGACGAGGAGGGGTAGGAACGGAAGTGCTGCTTGCTGCCCCGACTGGAAGTGTTGGACGTGGAAGAAACTTGCGACATCCTGCTGGTCGCGCGCGAACGCAGCGGACGTGGTGCGTTGCTCATGGCAGACAAGTCGTCGAACTTAGGACGGCCGATGCTAACGTCGCCTATCTCGGTCTCGGTGCGGAGCATGGACGTGACGCCGCGGTTCAGAGGTTGAAGGTCTGCACTGGGTGCCCGCGATACGGGTTTACCTGATGCTCGGCTCATGGCAGAGACGTTGGAGGCTCGCGAGTTGCGGCCGCCGCCGTTGGGATCCTGATCGAAAAGCGGCATACTGCCGTCGGCTGCGAAAGTCGCTGCGAGGAGAGCAAGCAAAGGTTGCACGCAGGGCGTGAGCGAAGCTGCTGCGGTGGTGGCTCTCCTGATTGCGGCGCTGCCAAAAGATGTGGTAGTTATTGGTATAACCAAAAAGAAGAAGCGATACTGCACAAGGCGGCGAGTATCCAAGAAAGACAAAAGCGGGTGACCTTTACACAACCCTCGCCAACATCTCCGCCAAAAGGAGAAAGCTGTCGAGTGTGGTGCTGTTGTGGGTGGGGGCAAGGTAGAGGAGACGGAGGGAGCTCGGCGGAGACGTTGTTTTGATAGCGAGACTCGCGCCTCCTTCACGTCCATTACGGCAGAGGCTACCCCTACCCCGCCAGCATCTCGCAGAGGAAGGCAGAGACATCAGACACAGAAGGAATACAGAGACGATACAGAAAGGGTCAGTAGCAGAGATGCATACGAGAATGGTCCCTACCTACTTGTGCGTACAGCTTTCCCACACCTACCCCTACGGCGGGCCTACCACCCGTGGCGCCAAACCGGCAGCCAACAGCCAGCAGCTCTTCGCTTCTCCTTCTCGCACCCCAGCTGCCCACCATGCGCAGGACAACGCAGCATCCAACGCAACCCGCTCCGAAACTGCCCCCAGCAAGCACAACAGACCACCGCATCACCGACGTCCTCCGCACGACGCCGCCTTCTGCCGCGATGACGTCCGCACACGAAGTTAAAGACATTACACGTTGCTCGTTACCGCGTTACATCTACCAGGGCGAAAATATATACATGCGAAAGCCCCAGGAAGCCATCGAGAACGCTGGGCAGAACCACGGCAAAGACTATGAGATTTGGATTGCGTAATACACAGAAACGCAAAGTCAAAGGGGTATATAGCCTTGCAACGCCAGACAAGAGGACCAAGGACGGGACAAGGGATAACAAAGATCAAACTAGAGGGTATCACTCGGCGATAGGACCTATATCGCCAGATTTCTTCTTGGTGAATAGCCGTTTGAGAGATGAGAAGCTACTTCGCTTGGAAAGTCGCTTAGTCGAGACATCTGAGAACGTGGACAGAGAGGTTGGTGGCCGGCTTGGCATGTCCGCAGCCTTAGGGGTTTGCTCAGGACGATTGAACGTAGGAGAGCTGGCACCTAGTCGACTCGACATGGAACCTTTCGGCGTGCTCAAGTTTCGACTAGGGAAAAGACCAAATTGGGCAGTTTGTCGCGAGGACATGGAGGACACGGAGCGTGGCGATGCGTAGCCCGGTGACACGGCTGAGGCGCCCGACACAGAACAATATGCCGAATCTTTGCCCGTCAAAGGCGGACTGTATTCTCCGTTTTGTGGTTTCGCCGACATGCGTTTCGGTGCTGATGCGCTTTCCTCTGCAGATAGGTTAGATGGCGAAGACACTTTATGCTGGTGCCCCGGAACATGTGTTGCACGACTAGACTCTGCATGCGGTGTCGCTCCGTCACGTTGCTCGTCGTTGCGCCAGGCATCACGGTAGTACCCGGACTGATTTGCCTGACGTCGTACATCGACGTCTGTGTTGGAAACGGCAGATGCAGAAGACGAGTCTTCGCTCCGTTTGGGCGTCTCTGTGGTGGAATCGGATGCGTTTGTGATCTCGGGCTGCTGCTGCTGCTGTTGATGCTGTTGCTGCTGCGGCCTCGCTCGTAAAGTCGAATGTCGCTGGGGTGTGCCAAAGCTGGCAGGCGTCTCCCTACCAGATGATGATGCGCTCATGAATGGCGGACGTTCGGGCGGGGGGGTTGGAAGAGGTTTGTTGTTGGCAAAGTTTCGAAATGGGCGTGCCTCGCGCGAATTGGACGAATTTCGTGAAGATGTACGTGTCGCAATCTAGGGCTGTTAGCGAAGCTCCAGCTGAGAACATAGCCCACGAAGCGGGTTCGAAGCGGATTTTGGCAGCGAACATACCAAACTTCGGCGACTTGCAGCGCCACACCGCTTCTCGATCTCATTGCAATAGCTGCTGACCTGTACGAGCACAACGCCCAGCCTTTCAGCCTTTGCTACGAGGCTTTGCAAGAATTGCGACCAGCCTCCGGTGTTGCCACACATGGCTGAATATATGCGCCCAATATCCTCATTGCGGTATGTCCATTCGTCTCCCACATCGCCTAGGTAGAGATCGAGCTCCTGGTTGGCTTCGCGAAATACGTTGATGTCGATCAGGTAGTCGTTGAGCAGTTGCGACATGCGCCCAATGGTGCGTTCGATTACGATGTTGCCGTCGAGGAGTTGGGCGCGGTATGAGCGGTCTTCGAGGAGGCGATCGAATTCGTTTACGTGTTCCATGGGCACCTTTAGACATTTATGCCGGAACAGCATGTCCTTCATGCTGCTTTCAAGGTCTTCATTCGCCCGCTGCAGAAAACTGTCGAGCTCATTGACATGCTTGAGCAATATGTCAGCGACATCGGCGACGGACTTTTCCAGATGCTGATGCAGCAGGTGGACACCAAAGATGATCTGCGCGACGGTCTTTGTCAGGGGGTGAAATTTGCCCTTTGCGTTGCTCCTCCAGTGGCAGTTGTATGTGAAGTTCCACGAGGGCTCAGAGGCATTCTCCTCTCTGCACAGCATTTGCTGTCGCGTCTTAACGCTCTTCTTGGGAATGGCGAAGGGAACGTGCCCCGTTTCGCCAGTGGCGTCGAGCATCGACTCCTCAAAGGGCGCCTGCATAGAGGAGAGAGGGTGTATGGGAAAGGTGGCCGTCATGATGCGTTTGTCTCGCTCGTCTTGCCATTCGTAGGAGTCGCGGTTGTCGAAGCTGCGACGGCCCCTCTGCGATAAGCGTCGAAAAGGAACCATGGCGAGCAGCGAGTGGATGCTACTCCAGCTCGGATTATGGTGCTACAGAAGCCAAAGCCAATGCAAGCCCAAACTCGCAGTTCAAGGATATGGGCTGTGCATAAGCACGAAACACTGGGTTGTCGAGGCCGGGGCGCTGGAGGGTGTATCGTCGTCGGGCCTTCTTAAAGACGCATGGTGCAGGATGGCATTGTGTGTGCAGAGTCTACGCCGCAGGGGATGGAAATGTTGAAGGTGCCGGAGATGGCGGAAGGAAGACTGGACACGGTCCCAAGGTTCAAGGACCCCTTCGGTTCGTCAGTCATCAGGTCACAGGTCACAGATCAGCCTGGGATCTGGCACAGAGACGGGGGGTTTCTGGTCGCCAGGAGGTCTGCAGGTAGTGCAGGAGGCTTGCCCGCAAGCAGGCTGGCGGATGCCTTAGTGCCCGAGACGGTTGGTATCCAGAGGCAGGGCGGGGAAGCCATGGCTACTCTCCACCATACAGCCTTCACGACTAGGAGCAGACGGGCAAGCCTCAAACAAGAATAAACTTTGGCAGTGCCTATCCCCAGCGGCGCCCTTTACTACAGATATCCGTTTTCTAGACCGCCCGCGGCCTTTAGCTGGCTGCAACGTGTCGAGCAGGTGATTTGGCGGTTTGGCATTTTGGCCGTGGCATCCTCACTGTGTGCGCTAGAAGACGCATTGCAGCCGCCAGCAACACACCCAGGAACGCCCCCAAGCTTTCCTATGGCTGCCCTGAGCGACGATCCCGCCATGTCGCCGTTTTCCAACTCGGTCAGGTCAAGTGCCGAGGCTTATCATATCCCGATTGATGTTTTAGCTGCCAAATGGCGCAACCCATAGCAGACGTCATGAATGGGCTCCAACGTGAGTTTACCAAGCGCCACGGTTCCTGGCCGATCTCCGCGGGAAGCTATGGATCCCAAGCTTTGGGATGCACGCGCATAACTACAAACTTGTGCTTGTGCCTGGCAAGCATATTACGGGTCACGAGCATCCAATCACAGTGCACGCGATCGGCAAGCTTCACCCAGCGACCATCACTTCTTCCATCTACCAACCCGTGCAACATGCTTCTGGCGCTGGGCTAGAGAGCGGCTGGTAGCCACCAACAATAGAAAGTTTGATCAAGATGCAGACCAACGTTACAAGAAACAACGGCGCGAACTACACTCTTGCAACGCTACAGTAGCAAACCACGAAACTCGTGTCCTCCCATCCCGTCGCCGCAACCCGAACCCGACGAACGAGATGTAGCTGTGCCGGACATTATACGCCGCGAAATGCGACTCGTCCCGGATCGGATCAGACGGGTTTGAAGACTGCAGAACGATCCGCGCACACATACGCGATGGGCAGGACAATACTGGCGGAAGTCGTCAGCGGCTTTTCTTGCCGACAGCGCCAGGACCAGATGCTGCGCGAGTCGTACAAGCCTGCAGGAATGTCAACTCGGAGTGTGAGCAAAGTCAAAGTCATCAAACTACACGCGCAGATTGGGCAATTGGAGACGCCAGACTCGTTACTTTTTGAGCTGTTGCCATCCACGCGCGATACTGGCAGCGCAGAGTCGAGACGACGCCAGTTGAGGTCAGACAATACGAGGGCATCCAAGTCCCATCACCCAGCATCGCCTTGGATGTATGAATGGGGTTCTCTTACAACTACATTGACATGGGTTATAGCATCGGAAGCCGAGTAATATCGAGCGATCATAACGCCTCAACCTACACCTTTGTCCGATTACCAGCCCCTCCATCGGGCCCAGACATCCACGACCGTATCTCCACCCGCGTCCGAGTCGACCACAAGATACCACCCGAACCCAGCGCCAGCCACACAAGCATGGTTCGGCCAGACCATAACCTTATCCCCGATCGTCAACTCGTTGCATTTGCTCCTATCGCCCTCCCATGTCAAGATACCATGCTCTTGGCTGATGCGTCCAACGATCCATCCCGTCTTGCCCTCTCGCTCGTCGTATATGTGCTTAGCGGAAGCATTGCCTAGTGCAGGCGTAACAATACCCCATCCGGGGTAGGACTTGCAAGGTTCGCGACCCATCGCTAGAGAGCCAGCGGATACCAGAGCTTCAGGCCTCGATCGCTCATTGTATACACTTGTTACTTCGAGCAACATCCGGATACCAATGTTAG